GTTTCATCTTCAATGCCCTTGCTGATGGAAGGAGGTTTGCACTCAAAATCTCACGATACATGGCTCCATTCATTCTGTCTTGTACATGGATCAGTTGTCCTGGTCCCTTTGCGGAGAAACAGCCCCAAAGCATGATGTTGCCACCCCCATGCTTCACAGTAGGTATGGTGTTCTTTGGATGCAACTCAGCATTCTCTCGCCTCCAAACATGACGAGTTGTGTTTCTACCAAACAGTTCTATTTTGGCTTCATCTGACCATATGACATTCTCCCAATCCTCTTCTGGATCATTCAAATGCTCTCTAGCAAACTTCAGACGGCCCGGACATGTACTGGCTTAAGCAGGGGGACACGTCTGGCACTGCAGGATCTGAGTCCCTGGGGGCGTAGTGTGTTACTGATGGTAGCCTTTGTTACGTTTGTCCCGGCTCTCTGCAGGTCATTCACTAGGTCCCCCCGTGTGTGGTCCTAGGATTTTTGCTCACCATTCTTGTGATCATTTTGACCCCACAGGGTGAGATCTTGCGTGGAGCCCCAGATCGAGGGAGATTATCAGTGGTCTTGTATGTCTTCTATTTTCTAATTATTGCTCCCACAGCTGATTTGTTCACACCAAGCTGCTTGCTTATTGCAGATTCAGTCTTCCCAGCCTGGTTCAGGTCTACAATTTTGTTTCTGGTGTCCTTCGACAGCTATTTGGTCTTCACCATAGTGGGGTTTGGAGTGTGACTGTTTGAGGTTGTGGACAGGTGTCTTTTATACCGATAAGAAGTTCAAACAGGTGCTATTGATACAGGTAATGAGTGCAGGACAGAGGAGCCTCTTAAAGAAGAAGGTACAGGTCTGTGAGAGCCAGAAATCTTGCTTGTTTGTAGGTGACCAAATACTTATTTTCCACCATAATTTGCAAATAAACTCTTTTCAAATCAGCCAATGTGATTGTCTGGATTTTTTTTCTCATTTTATCTCTCATAGTTGAGGTCTACCTATGATGCCAATTACAGGCCTCTCTCATCTTTGTAAGTGGAAGAACTTTCACAATTGGTGGCTGACTAAATACTTTTTTGCCCCACTGTATGTGTGTGTGTGTATGTGTATATATATATATATATATATATATATATATACACACACAGTATATATATATACACACATAGCTGTGCGTACATTGGAAACACTATATAAGTTTTATATAGTACATAAAAAATAGTGGTGGATGCAAGCACTGTGTACTAAGGGAGGTTGTGGACAGGGTGGCAATATAAATATCATAGACTGCACACCACCTGATCAAGCACATCTGTCAAATGCGTGATCCTCCTGTGGTTCCAGCGTCACCGTCTTCAGGTGACCAGACAAATGTCCAATGGGGGCCTGATATATCGAATTGCACATGCACGCCATGACAGCCTAAAATGATTGGGCAGCTTTTCTTTACACTGCCCGATGTGTTTATTATTTTTCTATACTTTCTTTTGCCACATTGCCCTGTCAGACTCTTTCCCTTTACAGCAGTGCCATGCAGCACATAACAATGACAGATTCAGATGGCCAGACATCTTTATACCACAGGTCTTCATGGCACCAGCAGCCCGATCACATGGCATCTCAGGTGGCCATGGCGCCATGACTCATTGGATAACTTTCTGGTCATTTAATTCAAACCTAGCTGTGAGTAAACAAAAGACTGGGGTAATTAATTCTAAGAGAGGAGCTGCCCCTCCAATACTTGAACATAGCAAAAGGTATTGATGTTTAGTCAATTTGATGTAGTCATTTAGCCCCTGTTCACACATTTGCAGTTTGCCACTTTGACACTTCTAATCCCATGACAAATCACACCCTATTGTTGCCAATGGAACCTGTCAAGGTCCTATCTTTTCCCAGAGGTTATGTTACTCCATGTGCTAGCATCCATCTTGGATTTCTGCTGAGCATGATGGGAATCTTTTATGCCTTCAGGTCTCTGAGGTCCATCCCCCAGAGGGGTGTACATATAAGCCTGGGATCTGCACATGCTCTTTGCACTTGTGTCTTGTGTCTTGGTCTTGCTACAGCTCTGTGTATACACTCGTGACTCTTCTGGTATTCTGACTCGGCTTGTACTAAGACCATTCTCTGTGTTTCCCTTTGATCTGACCTTCCGTTGCTGAACCCGGCCCGTGACCTGTGATTCTCTGTCTACTGTTCTGTACTGTTTTGTCCCGTTGTTATTGACCCGGCTTGTCTGACTACGCTATTGTCATTCTCACCAGCTACACGCCATTGGCGGCGGCCATTACCGCAGCTGGGGTGTCTCGGGGGCCGCGACCTGGTCCCTGGTTGCGTCAAGTCCATCCCCACCATCAGGGGCCCTGGTGAAGGGCAGCCTGGGACTTAGACTCCGCGCCCTGAGGGACTTCAGTCTGTTGGTGGTGGTTGTCGTCAGCCAGTGCGTTACCCTGCCACTAGGCCTACCTGTCCGTTCCACAGCCCTGCCCTGACAGAACCACTCAAATCGGTGTGACACACCGATTTTAAAAGTAGTTCCTGCACTACTTTTTGTGATATCAGGTGAGACTTGCATAAACATCTGTGCAAGAAGTTGCACAGATGTCTTCCAAGACAAAGTCACACGATTTCAAAGTGGGATCCACTGTGAACCTGGGCTCAGTGTAGATACATAATTTTCTCAACTTTGGAAAGTCTCATTTTATGTTGAAAAAGTTGCTGTTTAAAATGCATCAGTCTTGCTTTTCTCTCTTTCCCTAAAAAGCCATCCTTCACCCCTTTACCAGTGTCCAACACTTATGTGAAGCAGCAAAAGGGTGGGCTTTATTAACAGCTTTCCAGCCTCCTTATAGTAGAAATACTGCTACAGGGTGGCAGGGCTGCACAAGATTACAGCCTCAGCTATCGATCACCGGGTCCCAGCCATTGATTTTCCCCCAGCACCAGGCGATCAGTGAGTATCACTGATGGGGGAGACACCTGTATGTAAACAATACAGATCTCTCCCGTCAGCTCCTGCACATTGCTTTGTATTGTTCTGTATAGCAGAGCATTACAAAGCAATGTGCTCACACAGTAAAGCACACAGTTAACCCTTTGATCACCCCAGATATTAACCCCTTCCTGCCCAGTGCCATTAGTACAGTGTCAGTGCTTTTTATTAGCACTGATCACTGTATTAATGTCACTGGGGATGTCAGTGACAGTCAGTTCCCCCCCAGTGTCAGAATGCCCACCGCAGTCCTAGTAAAGGCACTGATCGCTGCCTTTACTAGGATATATATATATATATTTTAAAAATCCAGTATATATACCATTTGTAAAAGCTATAACTTCTACGTAAACCAATTATTTTACGCGTATTGGGATTATTTTTTAGCAAAGACATGTAGCAGAATACATTTTGGCCTAAATTTAATTAAATTTTTTTACTGGACAAAAAAGTCAAAAACATCCTTTTTTTCTCAAAATTGTTGGTCTTTTTTTGTTTATAGCGCAAAAAATAAAAAATGCACAGGCAATCCAATACCACCGAAAGAAAGCTCCATTTGTGGGGGAAAAAGGACATAAATTTGATTTGGGTGCAGTGTTGCATGACTGCGCAATTGTCAGTTAAATTAATACAGAGCCGTATTGAGAAAAATGGCCTGGTCAGAAAGGGGATGTAAATCCTCTGCAGTGCAAGTGGTTAATGCCCACACGCTGCACATACTGTATGCATCGCTGGGTGACTGACGTTTATGTGCTGAGAACACATTCACTGCATGCTCCCAGCACAAAGATAGTCCTTGGTCAAGACTAAAGATTGGTAGGTGGCGGGGCAAGCTCTGTCACTGATCCTTCCAGCCCCTCAGGCATTCGGAACCATTTAAAGGGATGCTGGGGCGGGTGAAAAGGGAAATAAAGTGATACTAAAGGGTTCACTTTTTTTTTCTAAAAATAAAAAAACATGTCTATACTTCCCTGCTGTATGCAGTGGTTTTACACAGAGCAGCCCGAATCCTCCTCTTCTCAGGCTCTCCTGGCCCCTCCCTCCTTTCAGGTACCCCCACAGCAAACAGCTCCATGTGTCCAGTCAAATGGAATAGGAGCCAAAGGCTCAGCCAATAAGAGGTGAGGAAGTCCTGGGATGGCTGAGACTTCAGTGCACATCGCTGGATCAGGAGGGGGCTTAGGTATTAGGGGGGCTGCTACACACAGAAAGTTTTTTACTTTCATGCATAGAAAGTATGAAGATACAAAATACTTGAGCCTTTACAACCACTTTAAAATGAGCTTTAGTAAAAAAATGTTTCCCTAAAAAGCACCGTAGATAAAACTTACAAGCAATAAAGTGTGTCTTGTGTGCTGAGGCGTCTGATCACACTAGAAATCCTCAGTCATCTGCCCCGTATCTCCCTTAGCAGTGATGTTCTCTTGCTGAAGGGTTAATATTTGGGCCTGCTTCTGTCACAGGCACTCATCAAAACTACCAATTATACCTGTCCTTTCAGCTCCATTCATAGCACCTATATGTTTCCACAGCGAAACGTCTGTCTCTTCCAATCCTGCTTTAGACTGCATTCACACTTCCAATTTGTGCATTTTGCACACGTTTCAGAAACACTGCAATCATGGATCGCGCTTGTGGTGCCATTGTTAATACACCCCAAGAGCATGTAGTAGGCAACAAAATGCAGACAAACATGTCAAAATGTGCACACCTCATGTGCAGGCTGAAGCACTTTCAAGTTAATATTTTCAAAAATGCAAGCAGGAACAATATGCTCATGTGTGAATGGGACCTTACAGAACAAGAAGATCACACCTACGGGGTACCTGGGGGTAGCTACAGGGCACACTTCAGTGCTTGCTTGAACAGTCCCTCGTGCTGTTAGGAAAAAATAATAAAGTTCAGCTTTATTAACATAAACCGTGGTCTCCAAAAAAAATGGCCGCCGCAGTAGACGGGCTGAGGCAATATAGAGGCAGAGTAAGTAGTTTGTTAATTAAATGACAGCAGTATGGCCCGCGCTTCTTTGAACTCTTTCATGGAGGATACGGACAGCCAGATCACCTGCGCTTGGACGCAGTTTAGCTGTCCTCCCATGAAAATGTTGGCAGTTCGGCTGAAGGAGTGTAGGAAACGACTGGTGACATCTCCGTCTTTCTGGCTTGCCATGAGAAGCGGTGGTGTAGAGGTGGAGGTCAGTCTAGTGTGGATGCAGGGCCGGGTGATTGAAGTACGGCAAGAGCGAGGCGGCAGCTTACGTTTAACAGATGACACTCACACCTTCACTGTTTTTGGTGCAGACAGAGTGCCTAAAGGCAAGTCTTTCCTGGAGCAAGGTAATCTTGTGTGGTGGAAGCCGATTGCTGGCTTTCTCACGTTTAGTGTGATGGGAGAAATGACTAGTGTTACTAGCCGTGGAAACTGTGAAATGACACTGTGTGTAAAGCATTCTTTAGGCACTTTCTCTTCAAAAAGTTTTGTAGATGTCCACATGTGAGCACATGAAACATGGACTTACTTTCACCCTAAGAGTGATTGTAAAGGTCCATTTAACCACTTGCCCTCTAGAGGATTTACCCCCCTTAATGACCAGGCCTCTTTTTGCTACTCGGTGCTGCACTAATTCAACTGACAATTGCGCGGTCATGCAATGCTGTACCCAAATGAAATTTATGTCCTTTTTTACACACAAATAGAGCTTTCTTTTGGTGGTATTTGATCACCTGTGCTCTTTTTATTTTGGGCGCTAGAAACAAAAAAAAGTTTTGAGATTTTTTTTTTTTAAACAATATTTTCTTGTTTCTGTCATAAATATTCAAAAAGTTAAAATTTTATCATTAATTCAGGCCAAAATGTATTCTGCTACATGTTTTTGGTTAAAAAAATCCCAATAAGTGCATATTGATTGAACTGTTTTCTTACTGTATTGTCTGCCATTATATTGGAAAGTGTTGAGCAAACTGTTGGCGCAATATAAATCCTGTATTATAACAATAATTGCTTTGTGTGAAAGTTATCGCATCTACAAACTATGGTATAGATAATGGAATTTACACAGCTTTTAATTTCTGACTGCTCATCACATTTCCTGAGATGCTAAAATACCAGGCTAGCACAAACACCCCCAAATGACCCCTTTTTGGAAAGTAGACATCCTAAGCTATCTGCTGAGAGGCATATTGAGTCCATGGAGGATTTATTTTGTTTTCCACAAGTTTCTGGGAAATGACAAACTTTTTTTTTTTTTGTTTTTTACACAAAGTTGTCATTTAAATTATATATTTCTCGCACAAGCCATGGGTATATGTGGAATTACACCCTAAAATACATTCTGCTACTTCTACCGAGTATGGGGGTACCACATGTGAGACTTTTTGAGAGCCTAGCCATGTACAAGAGCCTGAAATCCAATGACCACTTTGAAAGCCTGAAGGTGCGTAACTTCCTCATTTCACTTCTTCACTACCTATCACAGTTTCAAAGGCCCTGAAATGCCAGGATAGCACCAAACACCCACAAATGACCCCTTTTTGGAAAGTAGACACCCCAAGGAATTTAAAAAGAGGCATGGTGAGTATTTTGCAGATCTCATTTTTTTCTCACAAGGTTTTGAAATATAAAAAAAGAAAAGAAAAAATAGGTTTGTTTTTTTTCTTCATTTTCCAAAAACTTGTGGCAAATGAGATCTGCAAAATACTCACCATGCTTCTTATCAAATTCCTTGGGGTGTCTACTTATCAAAAAGTGGTCATTTTGGGGGGGGGGGGTTGGTGCTATCCTGGCATTTCAGGGCCTCCGAAACTGTGATGGGTAGTTAGGACGTGTAATGAAGAAATAAAGCCCTTTAAAGGCCTGAAGGTGCTTATTGGATTTTGGGGTCATGTACTTGGCTAGACTGCCAAAACGTCTCACGTGGTACCCCCATACTTGGGAGACATAGCAGAATGTATTTTTGGGAGTATTTCCACATATACCCATGGCATGTGTGCGCAAAAAATCATTTAAGTGACTTTGTGTAAAAAAAAAAAAAAAAAATTTCTCATTTTCCAAAAACTTGTGGTAAAAAAATAAATTCTTCAATTGATTCAACATGCCTCTCAGCAAATAGTTTGGGGTGTCTACTTTCCAAAAAAAAGGTCGTTTTGTGGGGTGGGGGCATTTTATGCCCAGCATTAGAAGTTTATGTCACACATCATTCACTCTTCTAACCACCTGAAGACCAAGCGTTTTCTGACACTTTTTGTACTCATGGAAAAAATCAGTCTTTTGCTAGGAAATTAATTTAAACCCCTAACATTATATATATTTTTTTAAAACAAACACTCTAGTGAATAAAATGGTGGGTGCTGCATTTTTTATGTCACATAGTACTTGCGCAGCGATTTTTCAAAGGCAATTTAAAAAAAAAAAATACACTTTACTTTTAATGCACAAAAACACAATATATTGGCCAATTGTTTGGTAAAATATAAAAGATGACATGCTTTAAAACTGCGCATGCCCCGTGCAATGGCAACAAACTGCATACGTTTTTAATATCCTTAGGCAACGTTTTAAAAGCGTTTACAAGCTACCATTTTAGATTTACAGAGGAAGTCTAGTGTTAGAATTACTGCTCTTGATCTGACATTCGTGGCGATACCTCACATGCATGGTGCAACTGCTGTTTCCATACTTGCACAGGGTCAACGCTCACTAACGCAGATGCGTGGGGGGGGCGAGGGTACTTTTTTTTTTTTTTTTTTTTTTTTTTTTTTTTAAAGTTATTTTGATTTTTTTTAATTTATTAAAAATGTAGCGCTGTTTATATCCTGGAGAACTGAAGTGATGAAATTCTCGTAGCTTCTGATTTCTTAGGCTATAGAGATGATTGGCACCATTCTGGTCTCCAATCAGCTCTATGGTCAGCTAGCAGAAACACCGGCTGCATTCTCAGGTTCCCCCGATGGCTTGGGACTGCCCGAGAAGGCAGCGGGGGAGGGGGGGCATTGTCTCCCACTGCTTGTAAAAGCAATCCTACAGCTAATTAGCCACTATGATTGCTTTTATACCAGGATGATGCCTGCAGCTGTAGGCATCATCGTGGTAGAACCATTCAAAGTCCAGTGATGTACCAGTATGTCGTTGGTCCTTGTTGGGTATATATGCTATGTTCTTTTTTTATTTTATTTTTAATACAGCCTGTGGACTGAATGGAAAAAAAAGAGAAGAAATCTGCCAAACAAAAATATGCCATTAAACTATCCTGCTCTGCATCCACCCACTTCTAATGGTGGTGACATACTGTGAATCCCAAATGCGGTATATAATACAATTCAGTGACAAAGTGCTCAAACAATAAACATATGATAAATAGACACTTTGTCACTGAATTGTATTATATCCCACATTTGGGATTCACAGTATACACAGACTGGTGTGTACATTTTACAGCACTATATATTTCATTGTTGTACTTATATCCCAATTTTGGGAGTCACTGTGGACACAATTGTTTTTTTATCCCGCATTAGGGATTGGGTTTATTTTATGCGTGTATTTATCACTGATATCTTATAGGTCACTTATTGGGTCCAAGCCTAGGACCTTTTGTGTGGGTTCACATATGTTCAAAATTTTTTACGTTTAATATATAAGGATTATATCACAATTTTTTATTATAGAACATATATATGTAGCGCTACACAATTTTATTATTGTTTGTTAGCACTGATAGGTGGCACTGACTGGCACTGATGGGTGACACTGAAAGGCAGCTCAGATGGGCACTGATATGTGGCATTGATGTGCACTGGCAGGTGGCACTGATGGACACTAATAGTTGGCACTGCTGGGGCTACACAGATCTTCAGGGCACACTGATAATCAGTGTTATGATCCGCCAGGTGGTACCTCTGGCAGCCCACCGGACGGGATTTCCCAGAGCGTGTAGTCTAAGTCCCAGTCTGCGTATTTACCAGGGCCCCTGATGGTGGGGATGGACTTGAAGCAGACCAGGACCAGGTCACGACCTCTGGGCACTCCCACCCGTGGCAGAGGGGACCACAGGGGATAGATACAGGAGGAGAGCCTGATGTGAAGAGACCGGCAGGCCCAGGCAGGATGGATGGATCGATCGTAGTCAGAAGGGCCAGTCGTTACCGTGGGAGCAGCGAGGTACAGAATCGGCAGGCAAAGGATAGTCGGGTCACACGCAGGGTCAATACCAGGATAGTCAGTCCGCAGAGAGGTCAGATAAGCCTGGGTCAGGATAGGAGAAGGCAGCGTAGTCAGGGCAATCCGGGTCAGTATCAGCAACAGAATTCAGAGTACAGGAACACAGGAAAGACCTTACTGCAATTTGTGACAGCGCAGGGCACCTTTAAATACCGCGCCCTGCGCTGTCATTGGTTGCCCAGCGTGTACTTACGGCGCCTAATGCGCATGCGCGAGTCTCCTTCAGCCGCGGCCGACCGGGACCTAGTGCTCGTATCCCAGCGCGAGCCGCCGAGACTGCGCATGCGCCGGGACAGACTCCGCGGCGGACCCTGACATTGCCCCCCCCTTATATGCACCCTCCGGGAGCCCCACTGATTTCTCCACTGCGGGTGATCACGAAAAAAACTCCCAGATGAGCCTGGGGGCATGAACATTTTGAATGGGTTCCCATGAGTTCTCCTCAGGACCATAACCTTTTCATTTAATCAGAAACTGTGTCTGGCCCCCCTCTTTCGGCAATTTAGGATTGCTTCCACTGCGAACTCTTTTCTTGCTCGTCTATGGTAACTGCCTCTGGAGGTCTGGATTCTCGATCTGGGAAGGGGTCTGGTCTGGCTGGCTTCAGAAGTGACACATGGAATACCGGGTGAATCTTGAAGGTTTCCAGAAGCTTGAGTTCATAAGCCACCTCGTTGATCATTCGCTTTATCTGAAATGGGCCAATAAACTTCGGTGCCAGTTTCTTTGATGGACACAGCATCTTCAAGTTGGTCGTTGCCAGCCAAACCTGATCCCCAGGTTGTAATAACAGTTCCCCCGGTTGTAATAACAGTTCCCCCCTTCTCTTCCTGTCAAAAGCCTTCTTGTTATCTTCTTGGGCTTTTGCAATAGCCTCCTGAAGTGCCTTGTTATTGACAGAAAAAAAATTCAAAGTACTTTGAGTAGCAGGTACTGAACTTTCGGGCATCAGATCTGGTAGAAATATAGGATGAAATCCGCAATTAGCGAAAAACAGGGATTGCACCGTAGCTGAGTGGTTTGCGTTGTTATAAGCGAATTCTGCTGAAGGTAAAAGAGTCAGCCAGTTGTCCTGTAGGTAGGATGTGTAGCATCTTAGGTACTGCTCCAACGTTTGGTTGGTCCTTTCCGTCTGCCCATTTGTCTGGGGATGATAAGCGGATGAGAGAGACAATTTGATTCCTAACGCTTCACATAATGCTTTCCAAAATCTTGACGTGAACTGTACTCCACGATCAGACAAAATATCTTCGGGAACCCCATGTAGTCTTACCACTTCTTTTATGAAGATCTGTGCAGTCTCCGGCGCTGATGGCGTATTTTTCAGAGGTATGAAGTGGGCCATCTTAGATAAACGATCCACGATCACGAATATTGCCGTGTAGCCTTGAGATGGAGGGAGTTCGACAATAAAGTCCATGGCAATCATTTGCCAAACACAATTGGGTATTGGCAAAGGGCACAACAATCCCCAGGCCTTGTTTCTGGAGGGTTTGTGTCTCTGGCAGATGGCACAAGTCTGGATGTAGAGCTCGCAGTCCTTGATCATGTTTGGCCACCAAAACGTGCGCTGAAGTAATTCTAGAGTCTTTGTTATTCTGAAATGGCCCGCCATCGGATGGTCATGGCAGTGGGCCAGGACCAAACTTTGGACTTCTTCGGGCACCACGATTTGATTTTCCTTCCATAAGAGCCCTCCCTGGCTCTGGAGGGACATCCCTGGTGGATCTGGCATTCCCACGGATGCGTCAAGAAGCTTGGAGCGCAACTCCGTCTGAAGAGCGAGAAAGTTCCCCGAAGGTAGTATCGTGTCCGGCTTTGGAATGTCTTCGGGGTCTTCAAACATGCGAGACAGGGCGTCTGGTTTTGTGTTCTTAGAGCCCGGTCGATACGTGATATGAAAAGAGAACTGAGAAAAGAAGAGTGCCCATCTCGCCTGGCGAGGTCTCAACTGCCTTGCTGTTCTCAGGTACTCGAGGTTCTTGTGATTGGTAAATATTAGAATTGGGTGTGTGGCTCCTTCTAGTAGATACCTCCATTCTTCCAGAGCGGTCTTTCTAGCCAAGTGCTCCTGATCTCCAATGTCATAATTTCTTTCCGCTGGTGTCAGTTTTCTAGAAAAGAACGCTACTGCGCTGTCATTGGTTGCCCAGCGTGTACTCGCGGCGCCTAATGCGCATGCGCGAGTCTCCTTCAGCCGCGGCCGGCCGGGACCTAGTGCCCGTATCTCGGCGCGAGCCGCCGGGACAGACGCCGCGGCGGACCCTGACAATCGGTGCCCTGATGATCAGTGCACATCTCCCCTATGAGGGATGCTGATTACCGGCTCTGCTCTCCTCTCGAGCTGTCAGCGTGACAGCTCGTGAGGAGAGAAATGCCGATAACCAAGAGAACTGCCTTGCGCCCGTCATTACACTATATTGCGGGCGTGAGGCGGTTAAATATAACTGGATTTGAACGTTTATAAATAACTCCATGGATTGCTGATCCAAGGAATATCAGATTGCCTCCTGGGGGATCAGGAACAATTTTTTTTTTCCTTATTTTATTCTTTTGCCTCCTCTATATCAACTGTGGGTATAGGACTATATATGGAGATTTTCTGTTTTGTTTTTTATTTGGTTGAACTATGTAACTTGTTTAATTTATCTCTAATATTAGTGTGGTTTAGTGTCGTTGGTGAAAAACTCATTATGTGAAATGGCAGTTTTTTTCTTACCTCCAATTGTCATGAGTGCTATACTTTTTTCTAGGATGTCTAGGATCTTCAATTGACATTTTTGGAAAATGTTAATTCTAGGACTTTAAACTACAGATTGTGCAACAGAACTGGTGATGATACTTGCTATTGTATGCAAATATTCGTATTCATGTGTTTATGGTGCCTTAAAGTAATCTCTAATTGGTGGTATATGTACACTAGATCTCTTGCCTAGAAAAATTGTGTAGTAAGACCTGTTTTGAATTATTGCAGTTTTTTCTACTAAGTAGTTGGAAAATAATGGTGAAGATATCATTTTCTTTTTTCTCATTGAATTCTTTTTATGGTGTTCTTTATGTCTTGTGTGTTTTTCTTGCTTGCATCTTCTAATGTTACTTTTGTGACATAAGTCAAGGAAGCGATTAAAATTATGTAGTATATTATTTGTCTTACTAAACATACTGAACATTCAGCTGCAGGAAAACTGTTCCATAGCATAAAATGTATTACAAAATATACCTACAACATGCACACGCTAACTATCCTTTCCACCAAATAAATATGCACAATGTGTGTGATAGGCATATGTATGCTAATCAACTACTTAACTTGGGTTTCCTGGTAATGCAGTCTGCTTAACAACTTTTTCTCAGAGTCCTACAAACAACTGTTTATCTTGCCTTAAGTCTCCAGAACAACTGTTGGTCCTTGTTCCTGAGCCCATAGCTTTTTCAAACTCCTTTTCCATCCCCTCACTTCCTGCTACCTCATTTCCTGTATGGAGATTTATGAAGCAGCCCAACATGTACATTAGTATATCATTAGGGGTGGTCAAGCTTCTAAAAGCACGTCGACTTAAAATCTAACAAGTCACATATCTAAGCTATACAAATCACCAAAAAATAGCTATAGCAACCATAGTGGTAAACTATGATTGCAAACATATATAGTCTATTGATCTCTAGGTTTTCCTTAATATCCACTGTCAACAATGTTTGGGGAATGAACAGATTACTGTATTACTACCTCTGTACTCTACTTTTTTTGCTAAGAGTAGGACAACCTTGTAAAATGTATTCTGCTTATTCTTAGCATTCTTGAATTGTAATTCATGCTGGTTGAAAACTTGCAATGATTAACTTGATTTGTCTGTTTTCATGCAGGAAAATATGTAATGGTGATGGGCATTGTTTTATCTTGTAATCCTGAGCCTGTATTACGTGCGGTGAAGATAACAGACCTCTCAGACAATCCTGTGCACAAGGGCTTGTGGAAGTTTGAAGTGGATGATCTACACAAGAATAATAAATGTACCTAGCATCTGCAAAATTCAAAAATGAGTTACCACCAAACAAATTCGCCTGGACTATGGATATTTTAAAATGGCTATTTACTAAAAATCTGTAATGGCATAAGGTTTGCTTTTTCTGCATTATAAGAGCTTTACCAGTTGTTAAAACTGTTATGATGGAAACCAGAACATTTTGTAACTTTTTTTTTTTTGTGCTTTTATCTATTAAATATATAGCCACGCTGCCAGTGTGTAATTATATATGACTATTCAGAATCTTTTTTCAGAGATCTAATTAAACTTTGTGTATCTGCCTTTCTCCAAATCACACAATAAGTTTACCAGTTAATCTGTCATCCAATCAAGGTGATATTTATGTTAGGATGTAAAATGTAACCTAGATAGCAGACCATTTTTAAATGGCAGCAACAGGTTGAATACTCAAGTAAATACATTTTTTCCTTCATTTATTGAGAGACACTGGATTCTTACTGGAGTTAAACTGCTGTCTACAGGAGGACTGCACTCTATAAAATGGATAAAAAACAGAGCTTTTTTTTTATCCACAACATACAATATGCCACCTCCAGCACTAGCCCCTTATCCTCCGCACATAGCTGTCAATTCCACACAACGAAGCCCCAGCTTCTGTGTGTGCATGGAGAAAAAACTTTCCTCCTGGGTGTGGTGCACTGCCCTCCCTCTCCTGCCATGGCAGTATCTCTGAGAGGAGAGAGTGGGGGGATTATGCATGTCTGCTCTAACTGTCCCGCATGCAGCTCTTTGCTAAAGACAGAGCGAGCAGGCTGTACAACGCTCGGTACAAACAAAGTAACAGCACACAAAACCCAAACAGCAAAGTCAAACAAAGTATGGAAGAAATATACTTTGTTTTACAACACACATTTGCTGGTACAATAATCAGATTGGGTGCAATACACCCAAAAATGTCCTATTCCCAGAGGGATGACCCAGATCCCCAACTGATGGTAAGAAAAACTGTACAGATAGTGGCAAAATCAAATACAGACTATATTAGGAATAGTCTAAAGGCAGTGCAGTTAAGCAAAGTATAACATTGGTCCCTCCAACTTTAGGCAGGCTTTTTCTCTGGACAGAAGCTTCTCCTAGAAACAGCACTAAAGATAAGACAAGGCTCCTCTAAATGTAGATGTCACACTTTCCTTTTTGGACATTTTTTTGTTTTTATCATTTTTTTTAAAAAAATTTACAAAATGAAGGGGAGATAAAGGACATAAAACCGCATAGCGGTAAATCATGTTGTGCATTCTGTATTACTGCGGAATGTGGGCACTGCAATGGGGTTTTTTCCCGGGGGTTTTGGCTAGAGATGGGAATCTAAGTCTGCTTCAGGTGCACATGGGAACCCTGCCAGCGTGCGACGTACGGGGCTTTTTGAAGCAAAAAGTTTTTCCCAAACAGCGCCTGAAATCATAAACACGGCACGCCCCAAGCCCACGGAAGTAGGGGGGGACTATTTTTAACAAAGGGTAGAGTGCCCCCAATCAGAACTTTAAAGGGACAGAGGTGTCCATTTTTTAAAGCGGTAATAGACGCTGCTCAGTTTTCTCCCGGGATTTTCGAGAAACCAGTTTTCTCCGTGAATGCGTTTATGAAGCAGTTCTCCGAACGAAGGGAAAG